CAACATTCAATGGGGCCCTTGAAAACACAGCTAGCACCCTCAAATGTCCATTTCTGACATTCACAGCTTCCCGTTAATGTGACAGCATTTATTGTCATAGTTTCAAGTTTCGTGGGTGAACGAGTACACTGGTCACTTCTAAATAAAGGTTTAGGCATCAGCCTTACTGTGTGGTACCTAGTAAAACAACACAAACGTGAATGATAAAGTCACATTAACTGACACACATGGACAAAAGCATGACTGTGCATTTCTCTTGCTGGAGTGCTCATCTTATTAGAGCAGCAGTTCTCACACTACCTGCATGGCGGGAAACACTGGTGCAGTATAATCAACAAGGTGAAGTGAAACTTGAGTGGATTTTTTCTTAATGTGACCTTTAAGTAAAACTTTTTTTCTTAGTGGTTGGATAAAAACTGTGGAGTTTGGGGATTTAAATTAAACGTACTAGAAAAACTTTGAGAACCGATGCAGTTGAGAAAGCCATAAACAGCAAAGATGAAATGAGATAAAATGTTGCGCCCAACATTTTATCTCACCAGCTGTTTCAAGCTAGCAGTAAGAAACATTCGTCGATGATGTGTTTTGAAAGTTCCCAAGTCAGAAGAGAGGTTACCGAGCATCACTGTTGTACAGTGTGGTTACACTTGATTTAATGCTGATAATTCTTGAGGCCCCAGGCACACATTTTTATGTGTATGGCAAAAACCACAGGTATAACATGTTCACTCTCTAAATCACTCTTGTGCATGAAACCATGAGAACAGAGATGTATTACAACCATATACGTATAACTCAATAGCAGAATGCAGTCATGTTAAAGACTTGTGGAGCAAAGACCAGTGACATAACCAGTTATAAAATAAAAAGAACAAAAATATTCTGTGTATACCATGTACGAAAGTGCCATATTTACACAGAGTTCAGCAAAGAAACGACAAAAAAGAAAGAACATAATATTAAACTATGCTAGTTCATCAATAATGCTGCACATGGCAGCATCCTTGTCCCATTTGTCACTTCTTGAAGTAGGGATGCTCTTCTCCTGCTGACCTGTTGCCATGCAGCTGGCAGCTGCTTCCTCTATATCCATAGGTTCTGTTTTCAGCCTGGTGGCCTGCCCAGATGAACAGCCAACACTAGCTGCAGGAGGCGCACTCTTTGTCCCATCACAAGCACCATCCTGACCTTCCACTTGAGGCAAGTCATCAGGCAGGGAGGCAAGGCACCCCTGGATCATCTCCACCACCCTCTCCAGATGTTTCTGGAACCTCTCTGCTGTCTCTAGCCTCTGTCTTTTCTGGACCTCCATCATCACCCTTAGCGTCTCCCTGGCTTGATGCGGTCTGTACTCATTTATCAGATGGTGCATATGGACAAACAGAAGCTTTATGTCTTCCAGCTTTTCTTCACGCTTTATACTACCAGGGCTCTTGATAAGGATGTCCAGAAGGTCCAAAAAGTTCACAAGAATGGACATGTTCAGTTTCTTGAGCTCCCGTTTGTGGTCAAACTGCATAGGGTGAAGCCTCTCAATGCCTTGGCTTTCGAGAGGCCGGATGATGAGGTCATCACACTGGAAATGGTTGCCAAACATCATGTAATTATCTCTGATGGGTGGAGGTGGCTTAGGGGCCAGACCCTTGCGGATGTTTTCATCTGTGTACTCTTTGATGTACTGCATCGGTGGAGGAGGCAGGGCGCTGACCTGCTGTGGTTCACCCATGATACCGACCTGAAAGCACAAGAATCCGTGTCAATATATATAAAAAGGAAAGCAACATACATTAGGTTTTGCAATTTAGTATCTTAATTTAAAAAAAAAAAAGTGTTTACAGTTCACAGTAGTTGAACATAAACACATTAATTTAGGCTATGTGCCTAAATATAACAGAAGTGAAAAGGTGTCTCTCTCACTTCACTATTGGGGGCTCAGGTAGACAAGAAGCAGGATGTTTGCCGCAAAACGACGGCATAGCTTTTTAATTGCAGAGACGTTAGCCGTGTCTAAATAGTTTGCTTGCACTAACTCCAAATAAATTCAGTGTTTGTTTGAGACCATCGCTTCGAAAGATGTGCTAAGAGGCCTATGCTAACACAAACTGCCCAGCCAGTTGTCTGTACGGTAAATATCTGCATATAACTTATGTTAAACGCTGTCTGCATGGGAATAGAGTTGAGTGAAGACTACCATTTACTGTCGCAAACCTTTGTTTGTTTTATCAACATGTTAGCCCTTTACTCTCCAACTAACTGCAGTCGTTAGCTTACCTGCTGACTGACTAACTGCTAACCTCCGCTAACGAGTTAAATCGCTACACCAAATATAATGCTAACCCACAATACCGTTAAAAGGGGGAAGACTTATGATATTTATACACACCTTTCAAATAACTCTTTAGTCGCTGAAGATATAAGACGCTAGATATAGACGTCCGTTAGTTCCGACCATTAGCTTGTAGCTAGTTTAGCTCCTTCCATTCCACACTAACAAGATTTTCGTTTCAGTCCCTAAGGCTCGACGTCATTGGTTTTTGTCCCGCGGATTGGACGATAGCAATGGAACAAACTAAACACCGATTGGGTGTGAGGATACCACGCTTGATCTTGTAGTTTTTGATACGAAAGTGCTTAATTTGAAGCTTATTTTATACAGGACTGATGTCTTTTTACAATAGTGACCATCTCCAGCACCTGTTATCATTTGTCAAATATTTTTCTAGTCAAAGCAAACCAGCAGTTTACAACGCCACCAATACTTTTAGAATAGAATAGAAAAGAATAGAATAGAATGCCTTTATTGTCAC